ATGGTGGTAATGGAAGGATAAGGAAGGTCTTGGGTGATTGAAGGTGACATTGGGTGGTGTAGGGTTATGAGTGTGTTTGTGTATGGTTTTATGAGTGTATTTCTTTTGTTTTTGTGTATGGTTTTTGTTTTTAGGATGTTTTTTAGATGGATATGAAGTGGTAGAAATAATTTAGGTGGAGATGGAGCTGACATACGGTGGTGGTGGCAGGCTATTGTGGTGGCAAACGATGGTCAGCCGGTGGCAGTGTTGGAAGATGTTCTTGAGTTTATTAAGATGTTCTTGAGTGTTCTTAAGATTATGAAGATGTTCTTGATAGATAAACCCAAATGGAGAGAGAGAGAGAGAGAGAGAGAGAGAGAGAGAGAGAGAGAGAGAGAGAGATCTTATTTTATTTATTTTTTATTTTTTAGTTATCAAATAATTAAATAACAAAAAGAAAAGCAAAAAACAAATAGAAAAGGGCAAATCCATCATTTCTAGAATTTTTAGATTGTTTTGGATCAAAACCGCAACAAAATGAAAACTTTTGGACTATTGCTGCTAGTCCAAACCTGTTTGACCCAAAGTAGCAATTTTGGATATACCACAGGGACCATTCTTGCAATTTTGTCTAAAATATAATATTATATATCATTACTTGTTTGGTTATTTAATATAAAAAATTTCAAAAACAAATGATTGTACAGTTTTCATTGGAAGTCAACAAAGATTTTTTATTGATATTATTGTCATGTGGCCAATCATTAGAAAAAAAATAATTAAAATTGGACAATCATTAAAAAAATTGTAAATATTATTAAAAGTAAAACAACAATCAAGTAGCCCAGTGGTATTTTATTTATTTATTTATTTATTTCGATTTCACGTCATCTTTTTATTTAGAAGCAATTTTGTGTTTTTTTTCATCGGAAGTAACAATCTTAATCAAAAGTCAGTTATCAAGTAATAACGTCATTATTATTTTATTTTATTTTTTATTTAAGTTATTTAACATAATCTTTGTGTTTATTTTTATTTAAATTTTAATATGAATACATTTTTTTGACGTTTTATTTATCTTTATAATTTTATTTTTCAACGTTTTGTTCAAATACGTTACTTAATATTATTTATTTATCGGGATATAAAGTTGCCTAAACAAAAAAGGTTTTAAAAAATCTAAATATTTATTCAATTAAAAACTAGATTTTTTTAAAGATTTCTACAAGTATCCATTTGGTCGGAATAAAATTGAATTTTTAAAAAATATAACGATTATATATCCGAAATAGGATTTATAAAAATCCACATCATCGGAATCTATAAAATACCAGCTCATATTTATAAAAAAATTGGTTCAAGTTACACCATAAGACCCGTTAAGACCTATGACCAAGGTTTGGACTCCTGACAACTTTATCTAAAATATGTAAAAACATGCTTTAAATAACTATCTATTTATGTAATATCATTTCCTGTAGATAATATATTTATATAATATAATCCGCATTGAACTCATATTTAAATTGACATTTGGTATGTACTATACATTATAATTTGATGTTGATTAAGACATCGATAATGAAATCAACTTTAACTTTTTAAGAATCATAATTTTATTTCTACTATAACCCATAAAAATTAGTAAGAAAACATCTTAATTAGAAAACAAAATCATTGTGATCATGTATAAAGGCATAAGTTTCGAAAGGGAATATGAAGCCTAATTCGATGACTTAATGAAGTGGTGATATTATAAATCCTAATGTGATCGATATGTGCCCTTGTAGGATATAAAAACCGTAAGATCTTATAATCCATATCACAATTTCCTTGCTCTCATGTCCTCACCTGATAGTCTTCCTTTGGTTGCTATCTTCGAGTAAATTAATATCACAATTTCAACAACCATTCAATGTCACAAGTTTGTTTACTCGTTTTTTTGGATATGAGACTTCACATAAATTACTTTCTAGAAACTGAAATTCTAAGTTGCAAGGAGCCAATTATGATTTAACACAAAGGCTAGTTAGTCGTAGTGCATGAAAAGTTACAAGATCAATATATTGTGTTGGTTATTAACATCTTTTTTTATCAATATTTATACCCTTACATCATTATATAGAATGACAATGGGTTCGAAGAAAGTAAAACTAGAGTATTTAATTTGTTGTAATGGAGAGAATCAAAGAACGAATTTCAAATATTCTCCTTCAATTAAGCTTCAATAGAATATATACATGAACAAATCATCCAGCTAATTAGCTATAACTACCATAACTACCTGTACAAAGAAAATGACTAAAATGCCCTTGATGCTAACTATCTGCTTACAATCAACTAACAGACTTAGAAGGCTAACAGATTTTGTATTAACTAAAAGATTTTCCTTCTTCACATGTACTATTATTCGTATATTTAAAAAACAATTTTGGTGTTACTTGTACAGGTAAAATTTGTTTTACATGGATGGGAAACAAACCTTTAGTTTATGTAAGTGAACCTTCTATGATACCTGAGATATTAGCTAATTATAATAAATTTCAAAAGCAAAAGGGACCACGACATTCGCTAATAAAGTTGCTAGGGAAAGGATTATTCAGCACTGAGAACGATCAATGGGTTAAACATAGAAAAATCATCAATCCTGCATTCCATGTTGAGAAGCTCAAGGTTTCTGTTCTTCCCTTTTCTTTCTCCATAAAAGTCAACTCATGATTCTAAGAAATAAACTATATAGATTTATATTTCTTCGTAGAAAATGGTGCCAGCATTTTACATTAGCTGTAGTGAGATGATCCACAAGTGGGAAGAAATGCTGATGAAAGAAAGCTCATGTGAAGTGGATGTGTGGCCTCATCTTAAAACATTTGCTAGTGATGTAATTTCACGTACAGCATTTGGTAGTAGCTTTGAGGAAGGAAGAAAGATATTTGAACTTCAACGAGAACAGATTGAGTTGGTTTTAAAGGCTATTCAGTCGATTTATATTCCAGGATCAAGGTGATGATATTTCCATATAACAGTTTAAAACTTGTTCATCTTTTAGTCGCTAATTAAAAATATATTGTAAATACATATATCTTACCTTTATTTCTAATATATTGAGGAACTACATGTATGTATATATAATTGCCACTAATTAAGTGAAATTTTGTAAATTAATGAGTAATCATATCAAAAGTTTATATGATCATGTCATGGCAGTCATATTGGTTTTGTCATGCACGCATAAATTCATTATAGTTATTGAAAAACATTATTAATTCTGTAGATTTTTGCCAACAAAATCGAACAAGAGGATAAAGGAGACTTCTCAAGAAATGGAGGTCTTAATAAGAAGTATTATTGACAAGAGAGTAACCACCATGGAATCCGGAAAAATTGGAAATAATGACCTGTTAGGAATTCTTCTGGATTCCAATCACGAAGAAATTACAAGACATGGTAATCACGACTTTGGAATAAGCATAGAAGATATCATCGAAGAGTGCAAACTTTTTTACTTTGCAGGACAAGAGACCACAGCAGATCTGCTAGTGTGGACTATGATTCTCCTGAGTCAGCACACAAAATGGCAGGAACTTGCGAGAAATGAAGTTTTAAGCGTTTTTGGGGAGAAGAAACCACATATTGATGGATTTAGTAACTTAAAAACTGTAAGTTTTACTAAACCATATTTGCTTGAAGCATCTTTCTCAATGTTGGTGTTTAACGAATTCTTTTTGTTTGCACAAAAGAACGACAAGTTTATGTAGTCCTAGTCATATAGCTTTCCATATAATATAGTGTATTTATTAAGTGTTATGTTATGTGTTTGCAGATCAGCATGATATTCAATGAGGTCCTTAGACTATACCCACCAGCAATGGTATTAGGACGGATGGTACATGAAGAAATGAAATTAGGGAATATGACCTTACCTGCAGGAACCTACATTCAAGTGAACACATTGCTTTTACATACTGACCATGATATATGGGGTGAGGATGCAAAAGAGTTTAACCCCGAGAGATTTTCTGAAGGCGTGTCAAAGGCAACCAAGGGACAAACCTCATATATTCCGTTTGGAGGGGGGCCACGTATATGTATTGCACAAAATTTTGCTTTGATGGAAGCAAAAACTGCACTTGTTATGATTCTACAACGCTTCTCTTTTGAGTTGTCTCCATCGTACTCACATGCTCCACATTCTGTCATCACGTTACAACCTCAATTTGGTGCACATTTGATTCTACGTAAACTTTAGGCTCGCGTGTTTTGGTTTGTCTAAAAGTATGTTGCTCTAAATCCAATGTTTAATAAATTCAGTGTTTAAAAAACTGGTTTGAACCGGTCGGTTGAAACAGTTGGACCAGGAATCGGAAAAGTCAGTGGTTCAACTAATTGGTTTATGCCTATTTATAGACCAGAACAAACCAGAAGGTTTTTTTGTAAACACCGGTTGAACCGACTAAATTGGTTGAACCGGCTAGATTGGACCGGTTGAACTAGTTAAATTGAATAAAAACACATAGAAATAAAACATTTTGTATAACAAACGTTGGTGAGTTTTTCACTGTCTATTTAACTTTATCTTAAATTGAATGAACACACATGGTAAATTTTATGAAAATTTTTAATGTGTTTTTATTCATCTAAAATTATATTTTGTTTCAATATTATATATTATTATTATTTTTTTATGTATACCATTAAGGTAAAATGTATGGTTAATTATTTTTTAATGTATTTTGAGTGATCTACAGCTTGTTTTTATATCTTTTTTAATGTTTGAACTTGCTTGTGTACATGAAAATAAAAAAAAAACATATAAAAATTCTAGAAACCGGGTTGACTCACAAGTCGAACCGGTTAAACTGGAAACCGATCGCCATATCGGTTCAACTAAAAACCGATTTTTAAAATATTGTATAAATCTCTTTATGGTTGTGAAAAATTAACCAGACATTCTTAAATTAAAGGGACAATATATAACTACACCAAATTCAACTATTGATTTTGGTCCAATAAATCCTTAAAAGTCAACTTTTACCTATCATACAGAGGATCAACCCAATATTATACGGGTTATGAGGTTGAAGCTGCTTACCAGTTTTTATCTTTCTCCTCTTGTTACTTTTCGTCTTCCTCATCTTGTTACTCCGGTTGAAGAGTTCCAATGACCTCCCCAAACACTAAGAGGTGCTACTGTGAGAATCTAGCCATGGAAAGAACGTCATGGAGTTAGGATAACCTCGGTTGTCGATTTTGGAACTGTCGAAACTCATTGGTGAGCGTCTGATCCCTCTTCCATTTATTGTGATTGTATAGATTATGCAAGAAATTTTGGTAATTTTTGCTTGTTAAAACCCTAATTTCTTGATGTCTACTTGGTTATCAAACAAAGTACAAGAAATGTGACTATTTTGAGTGGAAGGACTCTTCCAATTGAGGATAATCTTTTCAAAATATTTGAAAGATTTACACAAATATTTTATAAATTAGGAATTTTCTAATTCCAGTCTGATTCTAATATTTTAATCGGGTTTTGTGAGGAATCGAAAACTGAAGCAATAGAGGAAATCTGGTTCGGTTCCAGTTATCTTGATACTTTCGCTCATCCCTCGTAAAAGTTTTAAAAATAGCTAGTATCATCATTTTCCTCTTTTCGAAAAGCATATGGACAATTATGAAATTTTGTCATTAAATAACAATTTGATACTACAATCAAAAGTCTAAGAACCATTATTGTGATTACTCTAACAAGAAGGGGGTAAAATGGAAATTTTCTCATCAATAAACGTTCCTTTCTCATCGCAATCGCCACAAGATTCTCGGGGCAACTCCCAACCCAAAAGATGGAGTTAAGTGCAGCGTCTTATACTAATATTGTCAGCGTGCTAATGACAGTGATAGTGATCTTACTCACATGGAGAATTTTGGATTCGTTGTGGTTCAAACCAAAGAAGATCGAGAAATTTCTAAGAGCTCAAGGCCTGAAAGGCAACTCCTACAGATTTATGTTCGGAGACTCGAAAGAGATAGCACAAATGACACGCGAAGCCAAATCTAAACCCATCCATCTCAAAGATGATATCGCGCCTCGGGTTTTGCCCTTTGTTCATAAATCAGTTGCTGATTATGGTAAGCACCCATGCCTCCTCTCTCTCTCTCTCTCTCTCTCTCTCTCTCTCTCTCTCTCATACACACAGAGACATACATATTATTAAATCTTTCGATTTTGATTTCTGATTCTATTGGATCATGTTTTCAAGTAGTGTTATACTGTTAGTGGGATTGTCGATCCATTTTCGAAGATATCAGTTGTAGTCATTGTTAGTGGGAAAGACAATCTAGCAGTCATATTAGACTACTTTTTGGCAAACGGTGGTTTATTTGATCAAAATCACCGATCCTATATTATTTTTAGTTATTTTACGTTATCATCCTTTATTTACGTATCGAAGAATGGGACATTGATTTGATTATTTATGGGTGGGTAGGTAGTTTAAAGGTAAATTAATAAATGGTGGAGCCTATTAAAACCCACGATCTATCGAGGATTAAGAAAACCTATATTTTATTTTATTATTATTATTTTTTTAGAAAGGGCAAGCTGGCATTAAAACGAAAACTAGCCAGAAAGGAGAAAAAAAATAAATAAAAGAGACAAAACAAAACATAGAAAACAGATTTTTGACTACAATCTAGAGTAGCATTCTAGAATAGGATCACAACATCATTCGACCCATCCGAGGGGATCCCCTTTTCACTTCCTCGCATTAATCCAGAATAGGGCCATGGATTGTACCTCGTAAGCCAGCACCGTATGCGATTTTACGCTTGAGGAGTGTGCCTTCAAGTTCCGATAGTTCCAGATTACCCATAAGAACACTAGCATAACTGCCTCATTGATGTCTGACAGCCTTTGGTGGCCCATCAGCAGTTTCCTACAGTTGAGAAGATCTCCAATCGATTGAAAATTGGAGTCCAACAACCACCACCAACTAGATACCCTCTGCCATACTTCTTTTACTATCCCACATTCAACAAAAAGATGGTTCTCGGTTTCTAGATTTTCATCACAAATCTTGCATGCGGTGGATGATGAGATGCCAAATTTTGCTAGATTAGCCAATGTTGGAAGCCTACCATGAATGATTCTCCAAGCGAGAATATTTACTTTTCCAGGGACTAACGAGTTCCACATCCACTTCGTATCAAAAAAGGGGAGAGTTGCCATATCAATACATTTTCTCAAGGATGCTACAGAGTATACCCCTGAAGGCTCCATATCCCAGCTCCACTTAACTGCTCCAGGAGCATCAACGAAAATGATCTACAAATGAGACAATGTCCCTTTCTAGGGCTTTAGAAATACTAGAAAACCTATATTTTATCTTGTTTCTTATTTTTATGAGAATTTAAAAATGTGTCGCATTAATAATATTTTAGTTTAGTTGTCATTGGTTGTTAATTTGGGTAGAAAGATAGGTAGAAAGAAAATATACAAGATGATATTTAATTTTCTGTTTTTATTAGATCAGTGGGTGTGATATACATTTTGGCCTGCTCCACATCATTTTCCTTTCATCTCACAATTAATAATATTTTAGTTTAGTTGTCATCGATTGCAATAATGATTTTTAATTCCAATTGAAAATTTCCAAGTATGTAATGTCCTTTTCTAAATGATTTTTGTTTTATTTAAAAAATGTTATTTTAAGTATTAAGCCATAGTATATATTTTTTGTTTAAGAAATGTCATTTATAAAATTAAAGAAAACATTTTTGTTTATTCAAAAAGCATATGAGTTATGGGTCGGGTTTAGATATTTGTTGATTCACTGAATAAGGGTATATGTTTGGTTATTCAAAAGCCTACAGAATATGGAGCGAGTTTAGATCAGATTTTGAAATTTGTTAAAAGAGTTTGGATTAAGGTCGATTCACTCTAAACCCGCTTCATTGTCAGGTCTACTTACTACACAATTGGGCAGTGTCGTGTTCACCGCACCACTGGAAATGACATGTCACCCACCATAGCGTGCAATTTGACGCCATTCCGGCCATAAGGTTGGCTAAAAAGACACCTTATTTTTGCTAATTAGACAACACAATCATTACTTCTTATTTGAAAAACATAGCAATAATTATATGATAATTTCTAGTTACATTTAAATAATGATTATATAATAATTATTTGATATTTTTGGTTTTTTAAATGATTATTTATTTATATTTAATTTATAAATGTTAAATAATACATATATTTTCTATAAATAATTACTTTTAATATATAAATATTAAGTACTACTTATATTTTTATATTGTCTAATAATTAAATATAAATAAATACATAAACACAAACATATGAGATAATATTCTTCAATAATCTTCAGTAGTTGTAAAAGGTGTTTCACAATAAAAGGCTTCAGTTGTTGTAAATGGTTATAAAAAACTAAAAATATATATATATATATATATATATATATATATATATATATATATATATAATTTTACGTAAATTTATAATTACTATAAATAATTATAAATATTTATAGTTACTTCAATAATCTTCTATAGTTGTAAAAATAGATATATTTTATAAAAAAAAAACTAAAAGGTAATACATATGTTTTTCTATAAATAATTACTTTCAATTTATAAATATTAAGCAATACATATATTATTATATTGTCTAATAATTAAATACAAATAAATACATAAACACAAAAATATGATACATAAATATTATTCTTCAATAATCTTCTATAGTTGTAAAAGGTGTTTCACGATTACAAGGTTTCAGTTGTCTATAAATTGTTATAAAAACTAAAATTATATATAAAAAACAGATATATTTTATAAAAAAATTTATTTAAACCAAATATGTTTTTATATAGTTAACCATTTTTTTATAAAACAAATATGTTAGCTGTTTTAAAAAGTAAATATGTTAGCTCATTTTACAAAACAAATATGTTAGACCATTTTTAAGCCCAACCCACCCTTCTATTAAATACTTTAAAACCCTAATCCTCTATTACACCCTCTTCTCGAGTGGAATGGAAGGAAATGAAAGTAAATCACAAGGGAAATGTGTTTTTGAGCTGTTTTAAGAGATGGAAAAGAAAGGGAAGCAAAATAGTCTTTTTCACAGACCCATTTTTGGGAGGGTAATGACTTGATAAGGTAAGATACTTTTTGAAATGTACACATTTAGTCCTTATTCTTTTTTTTTCTTGTAAAATAAACCCTTATACTTTATTTTTTGTAACAATGCAGTCCTTGTGACCGGCTATACACGGTATACCGGTCATATACAAATTTTCTTTTAGGGAAAATGACTTGATAGGGTAAGATACTTTTTGAAATATACACATTTAGTCCTTATTCTTTATTTTTGTAAAATAAACCCTTATACTTTATTAATATGTACATATTAGGTTATTTTCACCGAATTCTACAGGTTTTGCTGATGTGGAATCACAAGTGGCACTAAATAGCAATTAATTAGCTTAGTCACCGGAGGTGGATGATCCTCCAGCAACAAGAAAAGGGCGGCGACCATTCTCTTTCTCGTCTCTCTTCCTTCCCGTCGAACAACAACAGCCAAACACCCTTTACCTATTGTGTTTCTCCGATCTGTCTCTCTTTGCCTCCATCTTTGAGATATGTTGCCAGAAAAAGAAGAAAAAATCGACGAGGGGGCTACCAGAGCAGCTCTTCGCAGCCAACTATTGTCTCTACTTCCTCCTGTCTCCCCCTTCGACCTTGTTGTTTTTGCCATCATTCCTCTTTGCTACCAGTGATGTATAGGAACACACAAAGGAGTCGCCGGAGATCGGGGTTCTCCCTCTTTTTCATGATGAATAAAAGTTGGAAAAATCTCGTTGTGGATATGTGGATGCCACCTGGTATTTCATTTCAACAAAATAAAAGAAAGGGAAAATGACTTGATAGGGTAAGATACTTTTTGAAATGTACACATTTAGTCCTTATTGTTATTATTATTATTATTATTATTATTATTTTGTAAAATAAACTCTTCCACATCAGCAAAACCTGTAGAATCTGGTGAAAATGACCTAATGTGTACATAATAATAAAGTATAAGGGTTTATTTTACAAGAAAAAAAAATAAGGATTAAATGTGTACATTTCAAAAAGTATCTTACTCTATCAGGTCAGTATCCCTTTTTGGGAGGGTTTGGATGGGAAGGCCAAAAAAAAAAAAAAAACGGCTCAAATCCCTCCATTCCATTTCCCTCAAATATACTTCATTATTTATATTGCTCTTCCTTTTACACTCCTACCATCTCTTCCCACTCCTTCCATTCCCTTCCTTTAATTGAAAAACTCAAGAACAAGACGTTAGCCTCCCCAAAACACATATCAAAACTCTTTCCGACACTTGATCTTCATCGGCTGCATTCATCGAAATGTTGCCGGTCCGATCACCGACGTTGGACCACTCATCAAAATGTCGCTCATATGACAGAAACTATTCTTTTAGAGCCTCTCACTCTCGATCTGTCATCATCGTCTGCTCATAGGAGTGGCCTCATCAGACCACCGCCGTCGCTCATATGGTTTGATAACTATTAATCTATATTAGGATTTCATATAAAAGTATAGCAGTCTTTGATTTAGATGGTTAGTGATTGTATTAATATGTGGATTAAGACGTTTAAGTTATTTATTTATTTATTTTTATTATTATTATTATTTTTAATGGCAAATACAATATAATCTTAAATTACTCCTAAATCTACGTATGTTTCTGACGAGATTTAAACCCTCAACCTCAAGAAGGGAGGACAACAGCTGATACGATACCACTGGGTTAGAAGCCTTTTTGGTAGACGTTCAAGTTTCAATATAATTAAATTATTTTAAGATTTTATAAAAAAAAATGTTTCCAATGTTATTGATGTTAAAAACTACTAAAAATTGTATTAATACGAGAGGAGTGTTATGAATAGTTGCCAATAAATATGTTTTATGAAGCATAGTTCCTTATGCTAAAAGCTACAAAAACTATGTAGTGTACACATTTTAATGTTAGAAAATGTTTGACTTTTGAATTTGGATGTCCAAAGGGTGTCTCCCTTTTATTATTGTTATGTAAGAATATTATATATATATATATATATATATATATATATATATATAGAGTCAAGATCAAATAAGAAGGAAATTTTTGGTAGGAAGGTAAGAAGTTTTTTTTCTACATATTTTTTTTCACGAACAAACAAAATGAATCATTAGATGATTCATTTGTAAGATGATTCACAAGAAAAAAATCTCAAAAAAACATCTCGATGATTCATTTATACAATGATTTTGTTGTTATTCACTAAAATTATCATAAAAATGAATTTTTTCTTAATTTACTTAAAAATGAATCATAAAAATGTTTTTTTGGGAATTTTTTCTTGTGAATCATCTTACAAATGAATCATCTAGTGATTCATTTATTTTGTTCGTCAAAAAAATATGTAGAAAAAAAACTTTTTACCTTCCTACCAAAAAAAATTTCTTACCGAATCTATATATATATATATATATATATATATATATATATATATATATATATATATATATATATATATATATATATATATATGATATTAAAATACTGCATCATTTTTGCTGTCTAAGGGATCAAAATTATAAATGAAAACCACCCAAAGCATCCAAACAATTGGGTTAGACGTTGTGCAGTTTACGCTATAAATGAAAGCCACCACAAATGTTACTATATCTAACCCTTTGAACAAGTTAAAGTGGTCACAATTAAAAAGATTTTTAAAGTTTACTGGATTTAGTGGAATATTAAATGTCAAAGTTTAATACAAATAATTTCATTAAAACAACTCAATCTTGACATTTTTATTCTATTTCGACTATTATAACATGCTATAGTAGGTCTTGGTCAACATAGAATATAAATGTAGGTAGATATATATAGTAAACAAATATACGAACTACATTATTATTCGCATTTTTTGTAGGTAAGATTTGTTTTACATGGATGGGACCCAGACCTACGGTGCAAGTGACCGAACCCGCCATGATAAAAGAGATATTAGCTGATTATTATAAATTTCAGAAGTCGAGAGGAAATCCATTATTTAGGAAGCTAATGAAAGGGCTAGTAGATGTTGAAGGTGATCAATGGATCAAACACAGAAAAATTATCAATCCTGCATTCAACATCGAGAAGCTCAAGGTTCATGCCTTTTGTCTTGTCTCCTCTAATTACCATTCTAAAACTATCTTACACTTTAAATAAAAAAATTATCTCTTTTCTTTTGTAGCAAATGATACCTGCCTTCTATACGAGTTGCGATGAAATGATAAACAAATGGAAAAACTTGCTTATAAAAGAAAGCTCATGTGAAGTTGATGTCTGCCCTTATATCGAAACAATGTCCAATGATGTAATTTCACGTACAGCTTTTGGTAGTAGTTTTGAAGAAGGAAGAAAAATATTTGAACTTCTACACGAAATGCTAGTGTTGATTGTAAAGTCTATACAGTCTGATATCTTTCCAGGATCAAGGTGAGCTTGAATGTTCTCAAACAATGAGTCTAATCATGTTCTAGAAATAAATTTATTACTTTTTCTGTTATTGGATACCATCTTATAGGTTTTTGCCAACAAAACGCAACAAAAGGATAAAAGAGATTGACAAAAAAGTCAAAGATTCGATAAAGGGTATTGTTAATAAACGACTTGTTGCAATGAAAGCAGGAGAAAATAGTAACGATGACCTTTTGGGAATTCTTTTGAGATCCAATCATGAAGAAATTAAGCAAGATGGAAATAAAAACTCAGGGCTAAGTATCGAAGAAATTATTGAGGAATGCAAGCTCTTTTATGTTGCTGGACAAGAAACCACTAGAAATTTACTGATTTGGACTATGGTTTTATTGGGTCAACACACGAATTGGCAAACTCGCGCTAGAGATGAAGTTTTACATCTTTTTAGGGACAAAAAACCGGATTTTGAGGGGTTAAGTCATCTAAAAGTGGTATGGATTTCACTATTTCACTATTTCCTTTCTTAATTATATCTAACATTGTTAGTTTATATACTAATTGTTGAGTGTAACAGGTTAACATGATTTTCAATGAAGTTTTAAGGCTATATCCATCCGTGTCCTTCTTAGGACGTATAATACATAAAGAAACCAAATTAGGAGACATAATGTTGCCAGCTGGAACTCTTCTTCATATAAATGTATTGCTTTTACACTATGATTATGAAATATGGGGTGATGATGTGAAGGAATTCAATCCTGAGAGATTTTCTGAAGGGGTATCAAAGGTGACAAAGGGACAAACATGTTATCTCCCATTTGGAGGAGGTCCACGTATATGTATTGGACAAAATTTTGCTATTTTGGAAGCAAAAATGGCGCTTGCTATGATTCTACAACACTTCTGTTTTGAGATCTCTCCATCATACTCACATGCCCCACATCTTTTGGGCACTCTTCAACCACAATTTGGTGTTCATTTGATTTTGAACAAACTTTAGGTTGTTTTGTATGAATGTTTTGATTTATGTTATATGGTTGTAGCTTTTTATATGATGTATGCTCGTAATGTCCGTGTTATATAAAAGAATCATGCCTCATGCCTGAATTGTTCTCTTTTCAAAATGGTTAAATGAAAGTAATAAAAATGTATTTTAATTTATTTGTTTAATATATCATTTTGTTTTAATCGAGTTATGTGAAACAATTGTTCAATGATAATTGGGTAGATTTTTCAAAGTAAAATTTTACAAGTACATTTTATCACAATAATATTAAATAATAAATATAAAAATGAAAGTACAATGTTATAATAGTTTATAAGTAGAGTTGTCAAAGTATGATGTCCGAAATAATTATAACAATACGTTATTAGAAAACAAAAAGACACTATAATTTGATGTCTGAATCCGAAAAAATTATAACAACATTTGGATAATTTCAAATTTGAACAAAAATATGATTTCGATTAAAAAGCAGGGACTAAATATGTCATTTACTGTTTCTTCTTTTGTTTCGATCGAGTATAGATCTGATCATCTGATAAACATGAATTTCCAGTTGTAGCTCTTCCCTTTTCTTTCCCCTAATGACAATGGCGCCGATTGTAAATCCCGACTTGAAACTCCTCGATTTGTTTTGTTTGGCCATTTTCTGGGAGTTTACGGCCTTCCATGCTTCACAAATCGGAGCGGAATTGAAACCACTGTCGCACTGACGCCCAACAACGCTGATTCACGGCCTTTGGCAGTTCCCCCGATTCTCCCATCCATTCCATCACTGAAAATCACATTTCGTGAATACATACAGGTACGTATATGCTTCGATATAAATACACATATAACAGTATTAAACTGATACAATCGTTAATCCAAATCTAACAACAACTAGTCTACATGTGTGAGGGTTTTAGTTTCGCTTATTGATATCACCATTTAATTACAGGTATGTATAATAAGGGTGGAAACAAATGGCAAAAGCGATTGACTAAATTCCGGAGCATTCCGTTGCCCTTATTGATTACTGTTATGGCTCTAATGTTCGTAATAGCTATTCTCGGAATCGATAAAAAGAAACCAACTTCTCAATCGGCGGTAACAAATCAAAAAAGGAGTAATTTAGATGGATCCAGGGTTCAATTTGATCCAACTGTAGAATTCTTGAATAATACCGAAGTGATTTGGCAAATACCCGATTCCCCAAAATCGGTTCTGTTTTTGGCTCATGGGTGTAACGGCAGGGCTTCCAATTTTTGGGATAAATCTCCAAACTGTAATCATTGTGTTGGTTTGCCAGAAGAAAGGCTTATTGTTCTTGAAGCTCTTGCTCGAAAGTTTGCAGTTCTTACAGTTTCAAGTAAAGGCAAATGCTGGTCATTAATGAAGGAACCATTAGTTGTTAAAAGAATCATCAAATGGTGGGTTGAAAAACAAAATCTTGAAAACTTGCCTCTTGTAGCTTTAGGGGCATCATCAGGTGGCTATTTTGTTTCAATGCTAGCAACCAAGATGAAGTTTAGTAGTATTGCACTTATGATTGCAGAAGGGGTATATGATCGAATTGATATTACAAACCACTACCCACCTATGATTGCAGAAGGGGTATATGATCGAATTGATATTACAAACCACTACCCACCTACCATTTTTGTCCACATGCCTAAAGATAATGCTAGGAAGACGATGATTGATGTAAACCTTGAAGTTTTAAGGAGGGAAGGGGTCGATGTTGCTGAAATTGAGTGTATGGAGTTGCCATTAACGCCATCTTTTCTTGCTGAGAGAGTCCCTGGGCTAGACTTAAAGATTTCTGTAGAGCTGTTTGATTTGTTTAAGGAGAGGGGATTTGTTAATAAAGATGGTTACTTGATAAATGATGGGCGGGTGATACCTTGGAAAGACGCCATGAGTAAGAGCAAGATCCGTTTGCCTAATGAGCTTTTGGTGAATTACATTCAGGAAGAATTGAATCTTGCATTTGCATATCATGAAATGACTAGCTTGAAGTCTGAGCAAATCTTTGATTGGTTTGAAGCTCATTTGAGATGATCATTATTAACCTTTTAGGGAAGATTGTTGTATGTGAAACCTTGACAAGTTGTGAAATTCTAATCACATTTCATGTTATGCCACTTTTCACGTTTTCTCATATGTGTGTACTTTATTTAACATTTAGGTCCATTTGGTGGTAGTATATCTACATAAACCGATTCACTAACGACTATTGGTTGAACCAATTAAAATGGACATGTGTAAGGTTCCATTGTACCCATTTGTTCATCCACTGTAATCTGTGTCACTAAGTGTGTAGATATGGTGATTATCGTGGTTTATTCATCTTTTATATATATATATATGATTAAGGTCGTGTTGGTTTGATATCTATCCATATGATTGTTTTTAAACAATTAAACTGAAAATGAATACCACCACTCCTGAAGAATATGTAAATATACTTTCATGTTTATAATAATAACCGGTTAAGAGATTGTTAGTAATTTCTAATTTATGATACAATATATTAGTAATTAATATTCTATTAAGTGAGCATTGTATACATGATAACGTACAAATGACTATTTAATGGGATTGAAATAATATCATCATTAGAGTTTAATGAGAGACTTCAAACCTTTGGGTATAAATAGTCGATGACCCAACATGAAAAGGCACATAATTAAACATATTATGTACAATCATGGTTTTAAAAATCGTTTGAGGCGCACACACACACCATATACAAAGTAAAATTAAGCAAAAATAATGACAATTATGTCAATTTACATTATTTTATTCAAATTCATTTGATATGTTTGCAAATATGGGATTGGATTCTAATTTCATTTCTTGCCAACCAAAGATTGCATTTCAATTCATAACAGATTTCAATTCCTTCATAAACATTTTGCGAACCAACACCTGGTCTGATATGGGTTTATCATATATAGTAATGGCAACCACAATCGAACAACCATTGTCTTTGCATAAGACTTAGTTTTCTCATGGACTTTCTACAAGATCTCTTGTAGGCTTTGTAAAAAAATTCTTTGTGACAAACAAAAAAAAATGACACGGCACATGGACGATTAATAAGGTTTGCTCTAAAAATAGAAGATGATTGGAAAAATAATTATTTTACATTGGTTAAAATGAAACCATGTGGACTGAAACAACAATAAAAATATTTTTTTTGGATCCAATTAATAACAAATGGTATGCAACACAGCAACAGGACTAGATTAGTAATGTACTAAAAAAATTTATGCGTGGTGGCCTAATGAAAATGTGGTTGTCATGTTGGAAATGATGATTACCACATGGTTTTTAGCATTTAGCGAGAAGGAAACTTGGCCTGAAATTAGTCAACTATTGCATGGACTTGAGTTCCCAAAAACTCTTCATATTTTAGATTAGATGATTAAATCATCATGTGTTTTGTGTTCGTTTAAGTAGGATCTTGTGTGTTGATTAATAGGTGATGAGGGTACCATGGATCTGTAGCTTTTTCTTTGGCTTCTTTCTCATATTCTCATCTATCGCTGCTCAACTTAATTACTTTCATAATACTGCAAATCTTTCAACCACATGGACCAACGGTGGATCTGTTCTCCGTTCAATCAATTTCACAGATGGCTCAAGGATCAAGGATCAGAGTCATTCTCCTTACGACAAAGGGTTTACCCGTGTACACATGTGGCTTCTTCTGTACTGGAACCTGCTCATGCAAAGCATCTCTTTTTAAGTATGGTTCAATTTCTACAAGAGGGGAATGCTATTTACCTTCTGAGCTTTTTACAATGATGAGTGTTGATGCAGGCGGACTTCCATACAATTTTTCAGCTTTTATAAAAGTCCAGAAAGCAAGATCAACTCCTTCGTATAAAAAGCAACTTGCAGAAGTTCTAGGTTCCACAATCGGAAGTTTTGTGTTGCTTCTTCTTTTGGTAGTAGGTATTGCTAAGTTCATACTCCATGAGAAAAGAATGAACAGTGAAATAGAAAAAGAGTATTTAGATCAAGTTCCAGGAATGCCCACTAGATTTTCTTATCAAGAATTGAAAGCAGCCATGGAGAATTTTAGTAAAAAGCTTGGTGAAAGGGGGATTTGGATCAGTTTTCGAAGGAACTCTAGAAGATGGCTCGAGGATTGTAGTAAAATGTCTTGAGGGTTTTGTGTGTTGCAGTGTTGGTGATTTTAGTGTCACCATGTCATTTTATGTAACTGGAACTAACATGTGAGCTAAGGGGCTTCATAATTTGTACTCTAATATATGTACAGGTTTGTGTGGAGTGCACACATGTATAAGATCGAATTAGAAGCCGGTTCGACGACAACTCGGGGGTTCGGGGGCAGATCCCCTGGGTCTGGGGTTTCCAAAGGGGTGGCGCCCCTTTGGTGGGGTCTAGGGGTAGTGCCCCTAGTGGGATCCAAGGTGAAGAGCCCCTGGTTGGGGTCTAGGTGCAGCACCCCAAAAACTTTTCGAATAATACATATGGGAACATAGTGGGAAATACAAATTCTTGAGGGTGATTATGGTAAAACTGACGAAATTCTTTAGTTTTGGATACCCTAAATACTCATTAAATTTCGGATTTCCTAGCTTGCTTCCAAAGAAACTCATGACTGCCCAACCCTAATGAAACCTTAATCTCGTTTATTATATAAACGGCTCTTCCTTTTGAGAAGAGATACACACGAAAATTAGTTCTTGTTTTTCTTAAAACACTCACATAATCTTTCTAGCAATTTGGCTTACAATTTATGTGCCTAGAATCGTAAGTGTCCTCTTGGATTATGTAACGCCCGGGTTTCGGGGCTAAGCATTTTTAGACGATGTAATAGTCTAGATCAACTATTGTAACTCTTTTTGATGTAATAAAGATGAAATATTTTAATTCTATGTGAGTTATGTGTATTTGTGTGCTTATTACTTTATTATAAATATATATTTAATAAAGAATAAAAATAAGCGTCAAAATTAAAGTGTGAGATAAGTCCGATATCTTTACATAAAGTTGTAGTGGTCGAAACAAGGATCCCGGTGATATAAAGAATGCCAAAATCCGAGTTATAACGAAGAAGTTATGGCCCGCCGAAGTTTTACAGCAAAACCGACATGGCACCGGGAAACGTAAATAGTGAATTTATGATGGAGAACTTTTTAGCCTTAGTGATATAAACAAAAGTCTTAGAATATGTTAAACCGAGAAAATCCATAAAAAGAACGCCCAAATCTGACTTCGTATGAAGACGTTATGATTTTTCTAAGATTCGGCTTAGCAGTGCACAACCCGAAACCCGAATTTTAGTTCGAGCGATTTTTGGCTTATGTGACCTAAATGAGAGTTGAAGATCTCATTAATAGGAACTCAACGGTAAAAGGACAGACGAAAACGGAGTCTGTATGAAGGAGTTACGAATTCTTCGCAGTCATTTAACAATCTAAACGCCTCCTACTGTTAAATTTGGGATCGGTCGAGAATTAGCCGACAAAGTCTAAATGAAAGCTGTAGATCTTGATTTTACCTACGCGTTGAAAAAAAGAACATCGAAAACGGAACTCGTATGCTAGAGTTATGATTTTTCTAAGTTTGAAGGATGATACGCGATAGGGGTGACGTGGCACCACCAGAATTGGACACGTGGCACCACCAGAAGGCCACCACATGCCCCAACTCGGCAAGTAGGTCCTTCTACTCGGCGAGTCCATCAGGATTTCACACTATAAATAGATGTGCCGGGTTCCATTCATTCTCACACCTTTCCTCTTCCACTTTCTCTCTCTAAACTCTCTCTCTCTAGCTCCCCTTAAGCCCCCTAAAGCCTAGGTAAACCCCCTAGCACCCGAAGGAAGCCCCGAGGCTCCCGGAGTCCCAAGAAAAGAGCCTTTCGGGTCGGAAACGCTGCTCCAGCGAAGCCTGGTTTTGAGAGAAACCCGTTGTAAGTGAGCTACGCCTAACCTATCTTTAGTTTAGCTTATGTTTTAATATAGTAATGTTATTAGGACCTTATAATAAGTACTTGGGCTATTATTATGGTTTATATAAGTATTGTTTAACGCTTATATAATAGCAATAATAGCTAGACTATTAATTAGTCTCGGTGAATATTAGACTAAACCCTAGTGGTAATATACTAGGTTTTGCCGAAGGAAAATTGTGTTAAGAGTAACAAAGTGTCGTCCAAGCACCGAGTCACCACCTACTCAGGTGAGTGCATAGTTACTTTCAGCTTACACATAGATATGAAGTATTTTATATAAATTGCATGCTATGTGTGCATATTATCTGAATACTTGCTATCTATGATGGATGAACGTTTTTATACATGTTTTCAATGATTTAAACTGTATATGTATTTTATATCTATGAAAATGTTGGGGTAAAATGGGTAGATGTAATAGGTGATGTGTGATAAAATGATGAGAGGCCTTAATGTTGATGTTGTTGATCCATTCATCTAGCAGAGTATAGATGACGACCATAGACTCTTCTAGACAGTCCAGTGGAACGCTGGGAGGCTCGCAACCTGTAAGTGTTTGTGAACGATGTGTTCACTGGTGTACTCCATCCCCCACATGGTTGCCTTTAGGACATTTATTGCTGAGGAACCCCCTTAGCAGTAGTGTCCATCCCGATGATGATCCTTAGGATAGGTCCCTTATGATAGGTGTTTAGGGACGTAATGTGAGGATAACGGGAACGGGTAATCGGGTTATTGTTGGTCGATGAAATTAATAAACTTATTTATTGTGGGTTGAAAACCCTATGTGCTAACCAGGCTCCCAAGCCTGACCCACTCAGTTTTATGTATTACAGGTAGTGGCGCTCGAGCATAGTTATGATGTGTTGGGATGAGGGATTACGGATATAGGCATGTAGATATGAAATAATGTAGTAAGGCTTATATTGTATTGTTTATACTTATGTACTATATCGAACATGACATCCCGAGTCTTTTAATGAAATACATTTCTAAGGAAATGCTTTTGATAAATCTTTATCATATTATTGTTTTGGGACAAATTCCGCAACTCTTTTATTAAAAGGTTACTCTGATTTTGAAATAAAGTATAAACAAAACCAGTCTTTTCTGGCCGTGATTTTGGGGATGTCACAGATTATCCTAGGATGAATTTATTGTAACCCAGGAATAGGGTAGAAATATCAATTCGGAAAGTGTTCACATGATCCAAGTTGGTATCCCACTACAAACCCTATAGTTTCAAACATTGTGGACATTAATAAATCATTCCTAGCAGAGGTCGAGTCTATTGGCAGCATTCACCATGTAAATTTGGTTAGACTTAGAGGATTTTGTGCTTGGAGTTCACAAAGACTTCTCGTCTATGAATTCATGAGTAACATATCATTAGACTAGTGGATCTACCATGGAGTCCGAAAGCATGTACTCAAATGGGAACGCATAAAGAAGATTGTTCTTCACATTTCTAAAGGTTTAGCGTATCTCCATGGAGATTGTAGGCAAAAAATCGTTCACCTTGATATTTAACCTCAAAACATACTCCTAGACGAAGATTTTAATGCCAATGTATCTAATTTTGGGTTATCAAAGCTCATTGATAGAAATGAAAGCCAAGTGATAACTACAATGAGAGGAACCTTTAGTTATATGGCTTCAGAATGGTTGAGCTCCATTATCATTGAAAAGGTGATTGTTCTTTTGGAGATCTTATGTAGAAGGAAGAATTTTGATAGAAATCAGACGGAAGAAAGTTGGCACTTATTGTGTGCCTTTCAGAGCTGTTAGGAACAAGGGACATTGTTAAGTATAGTTGACATGCATAGTGAAGATATGTAGGCACATGATACAGAAGTCGCAGAGATGATGAAACTGGCTTCATGGTGTCTACAGACAGGTTTTATTAAAAGGCCTTCAATGTCATTTGTGGTTAAGGTGTTAGAGGGAGTAATAAATGTTGAATCGAACTTGGATTACAACTTCTTAGACCCAAGAGTATAGAAAACCACAATTGAACAGTAGAAAAGCTTAAAACCCATGTTGCCTTCCATTCTATCCTGGCCAAGGTGATGTGCAATGAGGTTCATGTGGATCATTTCTATACATTGTTCTAATGTTACTGTGTTTTCTTTCTTAATGAACAGTTAAAGTGCTAGTTATGAACGAATTTTGTTCTCTAATTAACAAAATTGATGTACATATTTTATGTGTTGTCTAGTGTTAACTTCTTATAATTGTGTTTAGGCTTGGGCTTTGCTCATTTAACTAGTACCTGGCTCCAACTCGATTAACATCTTGATAACAGTGTTTCCCGAACTCATATCATCTCATTAGTGTTCAAGCCACAGTTCTAATACTCCTTGAATTAGTTAAATACTTGGTAATAATCTAAAAATTAATATTAATGGTTTGTTTATAGGATGGAGATCGATGATGCCCCATGAATACTTGTTTTAAACCTCGAACTGGAGCTCGTAAAACCCATTTTTAGCACTAATTAAATTAAATAAACTAGAATTATTGGTGATTAATATTCTAGGAGTATGTTTTGAGGTTAAATCAAATGGGGTCCTCATCTTCATGTATATATGTTAAACCTTTGGCTATATAAAATCTATATATTTTTTCTATATTCCCTTTCAAGTATGTGCTCTCGGTCTAAGTGGTAGATCCAAGAATCTTTTGATACGTTACTGATGCAGTCATACACGAACAAGTCATCATGATTTCCAACCACATATTCAATCATCAAAGTTTTAACTAAATTCATGTGGTAGCTACAGATGATTTCTTAATTTGCAAGCTCTAGACCCTTAAGTCATGAGTGCAAACTTTAAGCCATCCTCAAAAGACCCTTAGAAAACATCTCATCTATACTGTGTATTGATAATAAAAGTGTACAATAGGGAGCTCTATATATAGTCATAAACTACCATCTAACACTATCTAATTAGATTAATGATAATTAAAATCATCAACATATATAGCACACCAATCAGGTCTAATATTCCTCCTCAAGCTAAGACTGGGGAGTGACCTATAGCTTGGATCTAAGAAGTAGGAACGGTTATGAGGAAAGAGGATTTGTGAACACATCAACACTTTGATCATATGAGAGCTTTCTTTGAGAGAATTTTTCCCTGAAAAAATGAAAATCAATTTCCATATGTTTTATGCGCGCAT